TCACTCTAAAGCTTTCATTAGGATTAAGTAGTCAAGGTTTTGATGGGGAGTTTTACTCAGAATGATCAAGTTGCTATAAGTGAGACCACATGGCATGCTCTACCTCAAGAGGCCTCCTAAGTGATAAGTGTCTGTCATACTGATGGGAAGAAGAAAAGAGGGATCCTTAAAGCAGAATAATGAGAAAGTTTATTAGTAGTGCAGAGCTGCTGAAATGACAATAAGTAAAATAACTTCATGACTGGAAGGAGAATCTTTTGCTGAAACCTTACACAACGGCTGAAGTCTGGCAGGGTGTTGGCAGTAAGGGGTGGCTCTGGCTCACTAAGCTCTACAGTGTGAACATACCACATGCTGATCTGCCTTTCTACATGACAGAGTTAGTCAAATATTACTCTACAGCTTGAGCAGAAGGACAGCTGCAGACATGAACTAGTGCAGGAGCCCACTGGCTCCTCTTCACAGACAGGATGTGGTCCAGAGTGTCAGAATCAAAATCATCTGCACATCTCTGTTACTGCACAACTTCTGAAGTCTTTTCTACAGTCTTCCACCTACTAAAATATGGGACTAAGGTCAAGGTGTGTCTCATTTACCGTTGAATAATTTATAGGAAAAAAGTTACTTGTAATTTCTGCTGCTATAAATATCTATGCAGTGACAAACCTCCATGAGCTATGCTGCTACACAGGCACTACTCTAGTGTGTGCTTAGCCACTAAAGCCAGTAACAAAACATTTATGATTTACTTTAGATGTCCATAAAAAAACCCCCACAGATACAGTCATTGCTGGGATTAAAGCAACTACCTGGATTTTTACTCTTCTGTTATTCTGAATTATTTATTTGGCTCACAATCTGTTTTGGCATTCAGATTTAGTACTGTCTACATTTTTGTCTCAAGACAGGGGAAAGTTGGTTAACTTTCAGCTAATTGTGATAGCAATCCTCCAAAAACCAAATGGATTATGGCCTGAACCTGTCCGAATAAGGTGGTGGAAGTAATCTCTTGGTGGGTGTTGATTCTGAAGCTGAATAAGGGCAACAGGGGAAAGTGTGGTGCCCACTAAGGGGAGCTCATTCCTCAACTGAAATTCCTGTTTGAGAAAAAGAGCAGTTAAAGGGAAATAAGCGATCTAACTGTAGAGAAAGCTAATGTTAGGGCAAGTCAAAGAATCTCAAGATAGAAACAAGGACTGAAATACAGAGTGGCAAGAGAAAGAGAAGTAACAGTATTGCTAAAATTGAATGTAATTCCCTAAGATAGATGGAGTTCGAATCTTTGTAAGCAGG